TTTCAAAAAAGCAAACATGAAATGTTTTGTTCCAATTCAGGCGACCTGGTCTATACTTGTATGCTGTGCGCATCAACATAGTAACCTAGGCTAATAAACCGGAATAAGAACACACAAAGTTTTCAAAAATAGATATCATGGTTAATAGAGGCCGGTCTTTGACCGGACGAGCGGGGGTGCTCACGAAGTGACCTTCCCCAATCGTACCCAAGTTCCCGAGCCGAGGCAACTTTGGTGTTGACGGACACGTGAACTTTGGCACCGAGTCAGGGTTTCCTAAATTTCCCCCGAGTCAGGGTTTCCTAGATTTCCCATTAAAAAATATTTAGGTGGCGACTCTGTAATGAAACCCTAGCTCCTGACAAAATAGGACAGGGAAACCCTACTCCTTCATAGGGGTGTTTTGGCTCTCACTTATCTGTTATGTGCTTTAGAGTGCGTCTCTACAGGAATGCATGTATCAGTGTATGAGTTTGGGCATCAGGCCTGCGGGCCCCAGTTCAGTATTTTGGGATTCAGTTTACCCGAGGGTAACGGTTTACAGGCCAAATTTTGGGGCAGAATTCAGTAGTTACCAGATTGCTAGGTAGTCTGGGGAACCATAGCTTCAGATGGAATCAGGCTGAGATGCTGTCTGTTTTCTCTTTTGCCAGGTAGTCTGGGGAACCATAGCTTCAGAAGGCTCCGATATCCCCCGAGGTTCACCGAACTTGTGCTGATAGACTTTGTTAGGTCAGAGATTCAGTTCAAGGGCAATCAGTGTTCCTTTGCCAGGGGCAGGGTAAAAGGGCTAGTCGGGCACGAATCACCAGTTCAGCAGTTACCAGATTAGTGGACCTTATCCACCCCACCAGTAAACAGTCAGGCCGAGGTCTCAGTTTCTACTGCAGGGATAGATACCAATCAGTCAGATGGATCAGCAGAGCACGTCAGGGATGGAGGCAATGATGCGCCAGATGCAAGAAAGTATGAAACTCATGCAGCAAGATGCTGTCCGCCAAGCTGAATTCGCCAAACAGCAGGCTGCGCTCATGGCCCAACAGGCAGAGCTAATCACCAGATTGCAACAACAAAGCGGTGCGTCCGCTTCACAACAAGTTCCTCCCCCAGCAGGAGCTCCAGCACCTGGAGAGACGCCAAACGTCCAGGATGATGCGGACATTCCAAGCGGGCCGGCTCCGCCCCCAATTTTACCTCAACTATCCAAAACACCTACCAATCTACCGAACTCTCCCTCCAAGTTTGAGGTTGACCCCACAGCGTTGAAGTTGAGCAAGCTCGAAAAGCTGTTCAAGAAATCCCAGGGGGTAAAGTCCATCCCGGGCATTGAGGACGGGTACACCGACGCAGCTGTAACTCTGCCGGACAGGTTCAAGATGCCTCACATCGACCGTTTTGACGGGTCAGGAGATCCCATGGTCCACTTGAGCTTGTTTTCAGATGTTTTGCGCCCGATGGGCTTGACAAGATTACAGAAGCTCTCCCTCTTTGGCAGGACCCTGTCGGGTATTGCAGTCACCTGGTATGCCAAATTGGGGGATTCAGTGAAACAAAGCTGGGAGGAGATGGCCGAGGCCTTCGTCGCGCAATATTCATACAATACCCAAATCGAGATTACGAATCGTGATCTTGAGACGATGAGGCAGGAGCTAAAGGAGAGCTTCTCAGAATTCGTGACCCGCTGGAGAGCCAAAGCCTCAATGATGACCATTAGGCCAACGGATAAGGATCAAATACGGATGATTGTGCGCAATCTCCAGCCCAAGCTAATGCAGAAA